GTTGAAGAGGTGTCTCCCACCTCTTAGGATATTTTGATACAGTGCTCCCTCCATCTCTCCTGTCAAAGCTGTTCCACTGTGGCTAAATAATGAAAGTCACTGGAGCAGGGGGACTAGACCCTGGATCTCCCAGTGCACTGGAATATGTAGTCATTCTCTTTCTGGCCTGCAGCATGCCTAATTACTCCAGTAAATCCAACAAAATGTTTTGGAGTATCCAGGAGCAAAAAAACAAGGGTTTTCAAGCAAAACAACTTATTTTCACTTTCAAATAACTCTAAACCCAGGCAGAAGGGCAGTTATTGAAGATTACCATGTAAACTCAATACTGAGCCTAAATCAAATATTAGATTATAGCCCCAGCTATAACTGTTGGGGACAGTTAAGTTACTGAAAACCTGAGAGAGTACTGTCTTGTCCTTACAGTATGACAGCCTGTGCAACAATACTGTATCTACTACTGAACTAATTAAATGCTGTTCAGGTTTAATGGTGGCTACCAAAAATTCTACTGCAATAAATGTGCCTGTATAACAGTTATGGTCCTTATTTACTGTACAAAGCACTGTTGCTGACTGGCTACAGAATTTCTTTCACAGGCTTGGGTAAGTTCTTCAGGAACTCTCCACAGCTCTGTGGGATCATGGAAGTCCTGTTAAGACGTAAAATAAGCCTCCATTTTCCTCAAGCTCCACCTGAGAGCACACTAACTTCCCACAGTCACTCCTGAAAAAGAAGTCAGTTTAGAGCAGTCAGGAACCAAAGCAGGAGACCAAATCTCCTGATCTCGGGCTTCCAGGCCCGATGGTAATACAAATAATAAAGTGCCTGATCCAACTCCCATTAAAGTCAATGGTAGTGTTGTCATTTACTGCAACCGAAACAATATTGGGCCCCCAAAAAGAAGTGCTGGAGTTGTCAACTGCATTGTTGGGAGGCAGTGCTGAAACAAATAGTGTTGACTTGCCTCTCTCCCATGGTGCAAAACCAGTGTGATCAAAATCCAATGTCTGTTCAACAGAGCGAGGAGGGGAGAAGCTGTAACTTTGTGCCTCACCAATACAGGCAGTTTAGCAAAAGCCAAGATGGGCTGGATACGTCCTATATAACTGAAGTTATAGAAACTCCTGACAAACATTAAGCCGTCACACTGCCCAGATGCAGTAAATTTAAGGAGAAAATAGACTAGATGCTGAACAAGTGGGTCAGCTCCAAAGCAGCACGTGAAAATAGAAATCTGTCACACTTTCATTCCTTCGGATTCCTGCACGTTTGAAAATGACACACAACTGTAGACAGTCCTCCTGTATTTACAGCTTGGGTCAACATTTCAGATAAGGACAAGATGAATCTTAATACACAATTTTATTACAATTTTACATAATGTATTACATATTACAATTTTCAGTGCATTTGTATTTGTTAAGTAATGAACAGTTGTACAAGCACTACTTAAAACTTTTAGTATGTACAAAACCTCTGCAATTTTACAAATATACAGCTACCCTTCTCCCCCACATGGTGTATACAGAGCTTTCTGAAATATAGTCGAACATTGAGAATTTACTTTCTCTACGAGAACAACTGGGAATTTCTGAGGGCCAGATTTGATCACTTAACATTGGCAACACTAAATGGACCGCTGACCTGCTACCAAATGTATGGTATCCGTTTCAGATTGAAGAAATTTATGGATCCACAGATAATCACAACTGCTTATAAATCTTCTCCAAAACTGATTTCTGTTAAATCAGATCTAGATCTCAATAGTGCAAAAAACAAACAAAACCCACACCACTCCTCTGCAAACTGCCCATTAAATTAATAGTACATATGCTTTGCCCAGCTGTTCAGGACTCTAGACCTCTGTCTTTACATTACTGCCATGAAGATGGAGGATAATCTCTTCCCAGAATCCTTCCATAAAAGTCACATAAACCTGGCATTGCTCCATAGGTTTACCACAGCTGTTCCTGCTGACACTGCAGAACAGGTGAAGACAGTGGCCTGTTTCCCCCCTTCCTTGAGGCTTTCACGTACCAGTTGAATATGTTGTATCTTCCCTTCCTCCTGTGGTTCTGAGGAAGGACAGTCCCAATCTTCATGAAAGACTGGCTCGTTTGCATGATGCAGGCACAGAAGCAGGTGATGGATGCTAACTGCCTCCAAATTTCCCTGCTGTGGAAGTCCATTAACACTTTGGATTTGCATGCAGTCCTTAAAAGATCCCCTGATACAGTAAAACTTGTTCAGCTGAATGGTAAAAAAGTGGGGCCTAATTTCATGGTATCTCTATGCTGTGACTAAATGTCAAATGACATCTGGGGTTGACGCATGAAGTGGAACGCTATTGCCCCCAAAGGAGGCATAAAATGACTGATGGTACAATATATAACATAGCAAGATGCCAGCTGGGATAAACAAACAGCAACTCGAAGGAATTGCTGTGTGCTTGCATTTCAAAGATGCCCAGGGTAAGCCATGTCAGGGTAAGCTGAACACAAGAGGAAGACCCAATGGACCATTAGGAACCTAAGAGCAGGAACCTCCTCTGAAAGTAGGGCTATGGAGTGTTGAATGAATCTGGCCTAACATCAAAAATTATTTTAATTGTGCAAAAAGGGGAATGGGTTTTCAGTTTGAACCTGAACCAGTCAGATTTTGCCCAATGTCATTGCCTTAGTTGAATATTAATTTCAAGTTAACATACAAAAATATATATATTAGGGAAATCTTCTCAACTTATTTCCAATGGACAGAAGTAATGTTACTGTACACAAAGGAATTTCCCACTCTTACATTCAGCTGTGCAAATACAGCAAGTGCACCCACTATTTGAGAGAGAACATAGATAAACAGTGGTGGTTTCCATGGTAGCACCCTCAAAATGCAATTCAGGTTCTGAAACAGACTTTCCATAATACAGCCAGCAGCCTCGGTAGTATTGCTGCTGACCCTGTAATAATATAAAACTATAAAAGTATTTTTAGTCCCTAGGTGCCACCTACAGGCAATACCATGTTTCCTTTTCTCTTCCTCTGAATGTGATAGAATGCATTTAATACTTAACACTCTCTTGTACTTAAATTGATTCCCAGCTTCTCCTGAAACTAATACATGGGATATAAGGCTTCTTCTGTGAAACTTTCTGCATTTTAACAGAAGGTAAGAAGCAAGGAAAAAGTACACTACAATTATACTTTGCAGATATATAGTGCTCTTCAATTATAGCTCTCTAAGCATTTTGCAAAGTTGGGTAAGCAATATTTTCATTTGCTTACTCGAAATATTCTTATCCATGTAAATGTTCAATCCCTCTTTGAATTTTGCAAAGTTCTTGGTCTCAATGACATCCTGTGGCAATGAGCTCCAGTCTACTCACAGATCGTGTAAGAGCCTTTAATCGGTTTTCGATTCTCTCCCTTTGTTTTATTCACACTTAATTATGAATCTCTAGTTTTATCTGACCCTTCCCTAAAAACTCACTCATCTTAGGCCAAGAACTTAGCAGTACCATGAGATCAATGATACTATGTATGTGAATAAGAGTTTGCACGCTTGTGATAGGGTAGGTCTTGCTCCAATTCTAGTCAATGGAAAATCTCCCATTGACTTCAGTTCGAGGAGAAATAAACCCTGTAAGCAATGTTGGACAAACCATTCTATTTCTTCTTTTCTATTTTATATGGTGCCAAGACCAATATTTCATTTCTTTTCACTGCCTCATTTTTCTACCCAACAAGACTTAAGCAAGTTACATTGTAAAGTGGGTTACGATATTTAAAAGTACTATTAAAAAATGGATCAAATCTTAGTCCTCAAGCCTGCACTTACCTGGGTAACTATATGACTAGTTCCATAATGCTTACGCTTAAATAGGTGCGTATTTGCAGGATTGGGATCTCTGACTAATCTAATAGAGGCAGGGAGCGTGTCTGGTTTTTTGTACTGCACACTAGCCCTAAAGTAGTAAATAAAATGAGAAATGAGTTCAGGATTTAGACCTATATGTTAGAATATATAATCCAATGTAATTTTTATAACTGTACCTATATAAAATCTTTAGGTTGAGTAAATAACTCAATGTTACAGCTTATATTTTTAAAGCTGTGTCACTGAATAAACAATAAACTGGTAGTAAAAGTTGCAATCTAGTGACGGAAAGAAAACAACTGGGAGTTCAGACACTGCCTGAGCCAATTCAATCTGCCCATAGACAAATCTCATTTTCATTTTTGTAAGTGCAACTGAAAAATTAGACTAAACAGGACCTTGCTGAAAACTCTAGGGTTGCATTTGAGCATCCCAGACCAACTCTAGGACTGCATTTTCCCTTGGATTACACTAGTCCGCAGTGTTGTGTATGTAGTCCTCAAGATGCTCTCCATTTCTGTGTTGGAAGTAGTTTTACTAGCTGTGACTGGATCTCTGGAAAAGTACACCTCTACCTCGATATAACGCGACCTGATATAACACGAATTCGGATACAACGCGATAAAGCAGTGCTCCGGGCGGTTGGGGCTGCGCACTCCGGTGGATCAAAGCAAGTTCAATAGAACGCGGTTTCACCTATAACACGGTAAGATTTTTTGGCTCCCGAGGACAGCATTATATCGAGGTAGCGGTGTAGTGTGTTTTCCACAGGTGTCAGGGAAGGGGAGAAGTATTTCTCACACCTTATATTGCATGCCCAGCAAAGTGGGTGTAAGTGATGGATTGGGTCCAGCAATTTAGTGCATCTCCATTCACACTGAGAATAGAAATACAGACACAAGTGGTACAGCTAGGTTATGTTTGTGGATGTATTGGAAACAGACACATCTGCTTTTGTGTCATCATTGCCTTGTTTGGCCATATAGTATATCTACCTAGTTCAAGAGACTTAAAAAAAAAACGAGGATGTGTTTGAAGAATGGGCCACTTTGTGCTGAATAGGGTGCTTACCCTGGCGAGCCGCATGCCAAACGTTGCCGACCCCTGATGTATGCTAAATGCACATTGAATGTTTGTGTCAATTCTGGTGTGGGCGAGTAGGGATTAATAACTCCAAGATTAACAATTAAACATTTACATTTTTAAACAAAGTATTTGAAAAAATCTTCACTACTTACCTGCCAAATCCTGGATTAACACCATCCACAGCTGTCTGTGGCAGGAGGCTTTTCAGTCAGTTGGTGGAGCAACAGCTGCACTTCTGTGCTATCTGAGAAACAGCCAAAACCACCACAGCGCCCCGTTCTCCTCAGCATTGGCTAAGGAGTATCGAACAGTCAGCTTGTTTCTCTTCTCTATACCTGCCTGGGACCCTACTTACTCCTCTCTTCTCCACCAGGTCCACCCACTTGTCTCTAACCACAGAGACAGCAGGCATTTCTTCCCTACAGAACTTAGTTTGAGATTCTGTTTGTTAAAGTTTAATGGGCCAAATACAACACTGATCATAAGAATTCAACAGGGATGAATTTGTCCCAATGGTATGACAAACACTGAAAGCAAGATTACAAGCAATATGCTGCTTCTTGTTCTGGTTTCAGTAGTTGTGAATGTAGGGTCAAAACCAACATTGAATTCAATGAGCGCCATTCCACTGATTTCAATAAGAGCTGAATCCAGCCTTTGGTCATTTAAAAAGTATTTATAAAACAAATTCCTCCCTCTAAGCTCTGTTCTTGGGGGGCTAATCATGATCTACACTAAAAGACACAAACAAACTGGAAAGATTAGGCCAAACAACGAGGTCTGATACAAACAGGGAGAAGGAATGGGAGGGAAAGGTAACAAGCATGGATCCAAGAGTGGCCTTTTTAAAATGCATCTGGTTAGAAGAATAAAAATCTCATTTTTGGGAGATGGCTGTGAAACTTCAATGGAAAGGGAGTTTAACTTGTCGGACCCATCAGAATAAAGGCACAACTGCCTACTGACGTATGATTAAAGCAAATCAAGGCAAGAACCTGCAAAGGAGGAGGGTGAGAGTGCAGACAGCTGTCAGAAAGACTATGTATGGTTATGTATTCTTTCAATGTGTGCAGTGAGTAGCCCCAACATTTTCTACATTTGATACTGTGTATTTAATACATTATTTGAACTGGCTTCCCATATCCGCACCTTTTTGCATTCCATTAAAATAATCATTTCATTTCAATTTTATGTTGTAGTAATTAATTCCTTTATGGACACTGAACTTAAACACATTCCACAGTGTGTACATGACATACAAAACAATGGTTTTTTGGTCTTGTAGAGCTGTGTGACATAGTTCTATACAAAAGTGAGACCAGTGCCTATGACAACTGCCAGAATAATACGCTCTTTCACATGATGCCTTTTTTTTTTTTTTTTAAACAAAGCAGGATAAGTATCATTATCCCCATTTTATACATGGGGAAACTAAAATATGGAGAGATGAAGTAACTTATACAAGCTCAACATGAGAGCCAAGAACAGAACCCTTGTATCCTGAGACAAAGTTCTACACCTGTTCTCCTGGATAGTAGCAGTGAACCTTTCTCATGCTGTGTAAATCCATGGATTCCTAGCTTGTTTCAGATTAGTTGGCTGACACTGCAAACGAGTGGGCAATTAATCCACCTTTGTAGTTTCACAAAAACACCATGTCAGTTGTCCATAGAACTTTCCCATGGGCCAGTAGATTGACTACATGTGGTCAACTACTGAATCTGAACCTGGGACCAGAACAAGCGTCTGAGAGAGGAGACCTAGCACACCATTACCAACCCAGTGACCCATTCAGTCTTCAAATAAAGCTACATCGTTGTTCGCTAGCCTGTAGTTAAAATCAGATTCAGTGTAAATAGCAGAGCTACATCAGCCACAATTTTAACATCTATCTTCATCCTGTATTACCAATAAAGGAAAGAAGCTGCTATTAGTTGGACACCCAACATACAAAACACCACATGAACTAAAAAAATCCCAACAATTTTGCACTGCGCCAAGAAGTTAGTACAATTACCCACTCCACTTCTTGTCAGAGACAGCCACTGTTTTATTAGGAAAAATACAGTTCCAACGACAGCCTTTCACATTCTCTTTCAAGGAGACACTCTGGGCTTGGATACACTACTGCGTCAGTTGATGTAACTTTCGTCGCTCAGGGGATGGCTTTTTCACACCCATGAGCGACGTAGAGTGACATTGACTTAAAGTAGTGTCCACACCGCGCTATGTCGGTGGGAGATGCCCTCCCGTCAGCATAGCGTTTCTTCACCAGGTGAGCTACAGCAGTGCAGCTGCATCAGTGCAACTGCGCTGATGTAGCGTGGTAGCATAGACTTGCCCCATATTAAATAGGTACATTTCAATACAATATGACTTATGAATTACTCAAGTTGCCTGTATAGGGTAGTTCTTCCACCAATGCAAAATGAATCACTTTTTTAAAAAGTACTTAGTATAAAAGGCAGAGACTATATCCCTATAAGGAGTGTCTGAGTCAGACTTGGTCCTTGGTATGTGGCACAGTCGACGAAAAGTTGGAGAGCGCAGTAGCAGGTTGTGTGAGAGTCCCATGAAGCTGGAGGATAACCAGTACAAAGCCATGGACTGCAAGGAGACAGGAACACAGCATTCAGCAACCCAAAAGGCAATAAAAGCACTGCAATTCCAGTAGCTTTTCACAAACTACAATAATTATTTCTTATTAAGAAAGTCAACTCTCCTACATATTCACCCTTAAATAAATAGTTACGGTTAAGCAATGCTTCCATTACAAACCCTATTTTTCAGGGTTTTTGAACTCTACTGTAAAAATATGATCCATGCTAAAATTTGACAAAACTACAAGACCCAATGTTTTAAATTCACATTTCACCTTTTTTCCTGTTTTAGTCTAAATAGGCTTGATAAGCTCAACAACGGTGTACAAGAATCTCTTAACCACTTCAAACACACAATTAAACATGCATTTCTTCACATACAAATCTACTCTAAAAACATTTTCAAGATTCTCTCACGGAAAATTCTGCAAATCTAAATTATAGGTTGTTCAGATCTTATAGTAAATAAACCTTTTATGCAACGCCATCTGTCTCTAGTTACATGAACATGGTTTGCCTTTCAATTCACAAGGTCAACCCAAATATAGACCAACTCCAGATATTTTCTAATACTCAACTTTTAAAAAATGATGTTACAAACAATGAGTTTGTGGGCTCTCTCTCTTTAATATTTGGCAAAAATACTAGAAAGCACCTACTTTTATTTTTTTTTTAAATACATATTGAACATGTACCATAGTATGAACACCATGTAAAAATCTCATTCGTTCCAGTAAAAGTTTGCATAGTAGGATTTAGATCAACCTACTGTCAATAGGCTAGTTAACAGAATAGTTTTGTTGGATTCTAACAGTGTAATCAGAAAAATACACATTATATACAAAATAATTAAAACAAAACCAAATTTTAAAAAACCCATTCCACTGACAGCTTGGTCTTGTTTCTATTTTCTCTATCAACCTCTTTTCTATAGTGATGCCAGTCTTAACTACTTTGTGTCCTCCCTTCCATGCAATGAACACCACTCAGTTCCAGTATTACTTCCAGGGGGCCCAAAAAACTCTAGCCACATCACATTGAGCATTGGCCTGCTAAACCCAGGGTTGTGAGTTCAGTCCTTGTAGCAAAAATCTGTCTGGGGATTGATCCTGCTTTGAGCAGGGGGTTGGACTAGATGACCTGCTGAGGTCCCTTCCAACCCGGATATCCTATGATTTGTTTGTTTAACATTTGAAGTCAACTGCTTCCGTGGATCTCCCAGCCTATCTTGTCTTATCTATGTCTGTCTTATAGATTGTAAGCTCCTTGGAAGAGGTTACTTGTTACTGTGTCTTACATATTATGAAACGTGCAGCGCTTGTAACGATGCACATAACACTTTCGGAAGACCCTAGAGGCTGCATCTAATGTAATGTAAGTGTAAACAGCACCTTTCCCATATGCAGTATTGAATGGTGACCCTTATAGATTACAAATCCTGCACACACTACTACTTGAGTGAAGTCGCTGCTATTAAAATAGTATGAAGTATAATATCAACTATGGTCCGCAATATAGACCGTGCACTTGGGCTGCACTTAGAGCACCATGAATCAAGTCTGGCCAACACAGACATGACTAATGCAGTCTCTCACCTACTACACACGATTATGTTTTGTACTTACTGAAGGTACAGTTGCAGCAATAGGAATCATCAGTATTGACAGTCCTCGAATGAAGTTGGTAATGTACTTCTGGAACCTGGACAGTTCAAGTTTTCGCAGAGCAAAGATCTGAAGAGGCAAAAAAAAAAAAAAAAAAAAAAACAAACACACACACACAAACCAGAGAAAAACTTTTTTTTTTAATACAAGGGAAGTTAAAAATGCACAGTCAATGTTAGAACAGGTTTGTTACACCCAAATATTTTTTTCACATTCTTTTCAATTATTGGGAAGCTCAAATCAAGTAAATTTAAAACATTGATAAATTCCTTCCTTTAATTTGTTTGGTGCCTTACAGTCAATACTCAATCCTTTCCTGGCAGATTTTATACCAAGACTAAGAGTCATCCATCTAAAACATTTTAAGAGCACATTATTTCACAGGAGAATAGCTTTTGCACATTGAATAAGCCTCCAACACCTGATCCTCAAGCACAGTCCTCTGAGAGATGGCTACTGAGAAGAGATGGACCATTATCCCCAACCTACTTAATGAATAATTGAACGGAAGCAGAACGTGTATAGTCAAACCTTGACTTTCATTTTGCAAAACTGTCCTAATCCACATTACTTGGAAAAAATAAAACAGAACAAGAATGAAATCCAGACACATGAAGGCAATGAGGAGGACTGTGATTTATAACAGAGAGAGACTAAACAGTAACTATTTCTGCAGAGATTTGCAAAAGAGCAAGAACATGGGGAATCCAGACTCCTCTACATATTTTATTTTTAATATTCATTAACATTCTCATTCTTATTCCAAAAATTTCAGTATATCAACAAGAATTTATAATGAGGCCTGGTTTAATGTGTAAGCCACTTTTCTTTCCTTTCAATTGTCATTTTATTTTCTGTTTGATCTTGCCTCCCCACACAATGAAGGAGCATCTTTGGACTCATCAAGGATGCCGAAAAAGAGACCACAGATTTGCGTGTGTAGTGCCCCAATATCTGTGAACTTCTGTTGTACGTGTAGGACATATTCTTGTTTATGATGTAACAAATGTATAAAAAAAGCTTGAGTTCAAAATTAGTAAAATATTCTTGATTTTACACTTTTTAACATGTCTTCTCAAACACATGTACTATGCAATGTTTACTAGTTTTAATTATGAAAGAGAAATCTCTTTACTTTCTATTTTTAAAGTGATGAATGTAATTTTTTTACAGTACAATGTGAGTTCTCAATGTTGGGACAGCATACTTCTCAGGAGTGGAAATAAACCTACTTGTTCATTTGGAAAATGGGTTCAAATAGTTAAGGGCTGAGATGCACTGGCTAATCTTGATGATGTCTATAAGAGGTTCCAGTCTCTCAATCCCTTTGCTTTCTTAAAATAACAATAAAGCACATTTTCTCAATTACTATTTTAACTTAATATTTTAAGTCGTTTGCTTTTATCAAGTTTTCAGCTCATTTAGAATCATACCTACTGTACCCACAATCATCACTTACAATACATTAAAAGTGGAACTACGTCATTCTAACATGGAAAAGAAAGCCGCTGGTAAATGCAGCCCACGGGAATGTATTAGTCACACACCAAAACCTTAACCTTTACAAGCTGCAGTGTTAATAAAATGCAATAGGCTAATTAAAGTATTCTCACAGGAATCACTCTGGAGTGAAGAGTAAACTTTTCTGAGGTTAAGCTACATAAAAGCAGTTTCTGAAATGGCACATTAGAATTTATCAGCAATTACAATGTGCAGGACCCATACAACTTCAACCTTGAAACAATTATGCAGTTTTTCCCTTCTAGACCATGAATTAAGGTGCATATTTATAATCAGAAGCTGCCACGGTATTTTTACACTTTGTAAGGTAGTCGTGAACCAGTCCTAACTTTATAGAAAGAATTATAATTTTCACAATGGTCCAACATTCACCAGCAACATACCTCCACTATCAGCAAATTGAGGAGCCCAAGTGAGACTGGCAAAATCCATGTAGTATCTGGTACAGTAAGGTCTGTAAACCACAGGGTTCCACCTGTCGACAGCTGTTCCTGAACTGCAAGGACTGTTTAAAATACATATATATATTTAGTACGTCATTCTCCTCAAGGTCAGTCAAAATTATGCATAACTTTGCTTTTAAATTGGACTTTCAAAGTAAACATTTTTGTTACTCTGTGGCAATGCATTTTTTTTTTTTTGGTGCCAACTGGCAATTTTAATCCTTCCTTTCCCTCAGAACCAGGGCAAGGAACTGATGTAATGAAATATATAAATCCCAAGTAGGAAAGCTCCTTCCCCTGCCAGGTAGCAGCATAAACTCACATTTAAGTCTTACTCACACTTACTATCAAACATACATTTGGACATTTGAAAACTGTACCTACCTATAGACTGTGAAATGATTACAAGACAAAATCCACTATGTGATATAAAGGACATATAGAAATCAAAGAATTCCAAATCAAAGAAATCCAAAGTGGATTTGAGAGAATGTTGTATTTATCACTGACTTAAAAAACTGGTTCTTACAAAGCATCAGTTGGAAATTCACTTTGCAAACACGAATTATTAGTTTCTCTTTATTTATATAATGATGTCTTTTTAAAAAAAGCTTTTAATCCAAAAGATTAAAAGTGAAGGCAGTCTGCCATCTAACAAGAAAAGGAAATTATTAGTGAGAACTGCAGGCTGACAGGATTTGGTGCAAACAGATGATGAAAAATAACTTGTTCTGAATCTTCTGTCCCTAACCGAAAAATTTTTATAACAAACAATTTTCCTAATAGTAGCTAAACTTTATTGGGCTAAATGACAAGTTATTTAGCCCAATAATATTTAGCAATTTAAACAATGTCATGTGCCAGAGGAACAGGAGCATTACAATTATTTTTAAAATCTGCCTACTAAAGTTCAAAAGTCTCTCTCATATGGGGGATGCCATTAAAGACACAATATTCACCAGTGCAGGAACCCGCAGCGACCAAAGTACTTTGTTAGACTTGGAATACAAGATATCATGGCATTTGAATCAACACAAAAGCATCATATGTTGGGTTAATCCTGCATATCATAATCTACTCTTTAAACGGTCAAAACACCAATATTGCAGATAGGATAAAATAAAATACCATCTTGATGAACGCATTTTATTTTATCTAAAGTTAAGGCTTTATAATGAGAGAAAACCCCACAGTTTAATTTTAAGCATACTGTTGCGTTAGTATCTTTACATATTAAGTATGACTTCTATTACTTTGGCTTGCAAAGCACACAAAATAATTTAGTGCCCAAGGAGCATACCCAACAGATTTTAGATTGTTCCTAGAGCTCAAATTCCAGCACTGCTGTTAACTGATCATCCCACGCATCCCACTTTGCTCTTTCAGCTCAGAGCTGCACTATAGTGCAGTGTAGAAATACCCTTATAGGCACTACTGGCAAATGAACTCTCTGAGTGAACAGAAAGGTTATTTTGTGGCTATGGCTGCACTGAGTTCCTGATCTACCAGAACAATCTGGGGTGCAAAAAGTATGGGAACAGGCAAGAGGTAGGCTTCTGGATTACATGGACGAGTGGCACAGCATCTATGACATGCCTAATCAAAAGTCTTACAAATACAGTATTATTCATATTAGTCACTTAGCTATGTTTGGGCTATTTTTTCAACAATCTTACATCTCAAACTCAACAACTCAAATTCTTAAATTTAAAACCAAACCATGTTTGTAAAAATTGTAACTGGAGAAGTGTATTTATTAAAACAGATGTATATTTTCAATACAACTGTTCGGAATGATCACCTTCTGAGTCTGCTGCACCTACACTGCAGTTACGCAAAGCTATGGAAACAAACACCCACACTGGAATCTGTATCCACATCAACAGACTAGCCTTGAAGGGGTGGCAGTTGTCTCGAATATACAATTCTGAAACAATTCTTCCCATATTCTTCCTGAAATGGAACCTGATTAGAAAACAAAACAAAACTCCTTGTAATATAACTTTTCAAATTCTGAAATAATAAACCACAGGTTGCATATCACACTTAGTTCATTTCAAATATTGCACTGGAGTACCAGGTGAATGAAGTCAAACCAGGGAGTTCTCCCTTTATGAGCTGAGAGCCTTCCATTTGTTGTCTGCCAATCACCTCCAATCTCACCCTTCAAACCCTTTTCTTTTCTGTGGGCTTCTAATGTTAACATCTTCTCCATCTCTGTTTCCTAGCAATACTGTTCGATGTCTTATTCTGTGTGTTGTATTTATCTGATTTAAGACTACAAGGTCCTCAGTGTACAGACCACAGGCCAGATCCTCAGACTGCACTCAGTCCCATTTACATCACTCTGACACTGCAAAGGAGATAGAGCTACCATACCAGGACAGCTGGGGATTCCTCTTCAAATCATAGAATATCAGGGTTGGAAGGGACCTCAGGAGGTCATCTAGTCCAACCCCCTGCTCAAAGCAGGACCAATCCCCAGACAGATTTTTGCCCCAGATCCCTAAATGACCCCCTTACGGATTGAACTCACAATCCTGGGTTTAGCAGGCCAATGCTCAAACCACTGAGCCTCCCCCTTGCATGAGGAAATCACTGGATGTAGTAAAGCTGACACAGCCAGGTCCTGCCATCCACTCCTAACAAAGATTTAGAAACCATAGCTATGTGTCAAATCTTGGTCCCACTGAAGTCAACAATTAAACCCAGACTCACTTCAGTGGAAACAGGAATTGGCCTTATAAGTTTTAGTCCATCACAGATTCAGTGCTTCAAATGAGCACATTCCCTAAATGTCTATGTAAATAACACAGAAAAGTTTTATATAAAAATAGTAAGCCAGAATCCATGATTTTAGTGTCAGATTTGTAGAGCCTTTTTATATATACATATTGCCATCATCTTTATATATGCCTCTTATTTTCAGCCCAAGTGGATTTGTAAGATACTGTACAATTGTTATCTTACCTAGCAACTTTTTCAGACCAACCCAGTTGCTTCCCACGAATTGAAACTTCATAGCGAAGACGCTTAGCTAGGTTTTCTATTTCAGGCTGCAAATTTTCCAGCTAGCTAAAGAAAAGAAAGAAATGATTATACAGCAAAATTAAAGAGTTCCATCTGCAACCAGTCTCTCTACCCCATATCATCTTGTATGTGTACTGTAAAGTGAAATGCATGCATCTGTGGGTGTTTCCTGCCTCTATATATATTGGGCTTTTGAGGAACTTGAGTGAGAATGCCTAAGTATTTCTAACAAAAACAACAAATGAAACATCAATCTTACCAGGTGATAAAAAACATAAGTACAAGTGTTGGTTGCATATTATAATTTATTATAGGTTTTTAAGTATATAAAAGGGTCTGTACACAATTGTTATACAAAAACACATGGTGGAATCCCCTCACCCATGTTTTGAACAGCCTTATAAGGTATGATTCTGCAGCCACTAAGTCTATAGCAAAAATCTCATTTAATTCAATAGGATCAGGCCCCAGGATGTAGCACTGAAAATGGAGTTTGATATTTTTGCAGTCAATATGGCAAGATACAAGTATGAAGAAGTATTGGTAAGAGAATTTGTAATATTTGTGCCTAAACATGAAATTAATATATTTGTTCTCTATGGACTCCTGATTGTGAACAAGATGATACTAAACTGCTCAAGATAGTTAAGACCAAAGCAGACTGTGAAGAACTTCAAAAAGATCTCACAAAACTAAGTGATTGGGCAACAAAATGGCAAATGAAATTTAATGTGGATAAATGTAAAGTAATGCACATTGGAAAAAATAACCCCAACTATACATACAATATGATGGGGGCTAATTTAGCTACAACGAATCAGGAAAAAGATCTTGGAGTCATCATGGATAGTTCTCTGAAGATGTCCACGTAGTGTGCAGAGGCGGTCAAAAAAGCAAACAGGATGTTAGGAATCATTAAAAAGAGGATAGAGAACAAGAAGGAGAATATATTATTGCTCTTATATAAATCGATGGTACGCCCACATCTCGAATACTGCATACAGATGTGGTCTCCTCATCTCAAAAAAGATATACTAGCACTAGAAAAGGTTCAGAGAAGGGCAACTAAAATGATTAGGGGTTTGGAACGGGTCCCATACGAGGAGAGATTAAAGAGGCTAGGACTTTTCAGCTTGGAAAAGAGGAGACTAAGGGGGGATATGATAGAAGTATATAAAATCATGAGGGATGTGGAGAAAGTAGATAAGGAAAAGTTATTTACTTATTCCCATAATACAAGAACTAGGGGTCATCAAATGAAATTAATAGGCAGCAGGTTTAAAACAAATAAAAGGAAGTTCTTCTTCACGCAGCGCACAGTCAACTTGTGGAACTCCTTGCCTGAGGAGGTTGTGAAGGCTAGGACTATAACAGCGTTTAAAAGAGAACTGGATAAATTCATGGAGGTTAAGTCCATTAATGGCTATTAGCCAGGATGGGTAAGGGATGGTGTCCCTAGACTCTTTGTTTGTCAGAGGGTGGAGATGGATGGCAGGAAAGAGATCACTTGATCATTACCTGCTAGGTTCACTCCCTCTGGAGCACCTGGCATTGGCCACTGTCAGTAGACAGAATACTGGGCTAGATGGACCTTTGGTCTGACCCAGTACGGCCATTCTTATGTAAGGCAAAACACACAAATGCTACAGAGAGCTTTATAGGATACAAGGACAATATCACAGGTGGCATGATTCATCTCTATTACTCAATAGCTTTTTAAAAAGTAAAAAAGATGGCCACAACATACCATACTTATTTTGATATGGAGAACCATGTGACAACTAGCTAGCAAGGTCAAAATGGATTGCTACCATTCAGATGTATTACTACACAACATCTCTTTTACAAAACCACACTAGAGGATTACTTCCTCTGAATTTGTGGTTGGTATAAAATGGTCTCTGCCACACCTGCATTATAACTGGTTCAGTGTGTAGACACACATGTAGTGCCAATAACTAACAGCACCAGTTTAAAGTTACTTTAATTGTCCAAAAAACAAGGAAAAAAAGAGTTATGCCTGAACTGATTCTGTATGGTGAAATCAAAACTACCATTTTCTGTCCATTTTCTCAAGCCTCACTTTTCCCTTACCAGTAGCAAAATGGAAACAGGAAAAAGATTTCCTGGGCTGGATTTCCTGTCACACTTCTGCTCTTACTATTTTGGACTCTCCTGAGAAAGGCACATTAATAGCTGAGTTTTAGTAATACTTCACCCTTATCCAGTGCTTTGAAAGTGTAAATTCCCAACTAAATAAGGAGTGTTGCGGTCACAAAGGATGTGCTATTGATATTTACTGCCGAGTGAATAACAAACAACCAAACAAACCTACCTACCTAACCAGAGATCAGTGTACCACAAAGGACTGTGTTAGGCTGAGTCTGTTAATTCTGCAACATTACAAGCAATAGCTACAGAAAATTTTACTGCATTCTTTGCCAGTGGTCCATATTAGCTGAACCACTACTGGCTGTAACCTTCCAGCAGCTGTTTTTGGCATTACTTTTTGCATTCTAAGTGCACTATTACAAAGCAATTGCCTCTTATATTAAATTGAAACTAATAAAATACTTGGCATTTTCACGGTGCTTTTTTATCCTGAGATCCTGAAATACTTTACAAAGGAGGGAAAAGTATCCTCTCACATCTTGTAGACAGGAACACAAAGAATAAAAGCAAGACTGGTTAAATACAGCCTCTTTACTCAAATAAAACATGGCTGTTTTAATTCTAGTGTTGCAAAGGATTCTGCAATTCTTTAGCAGTGAAGCATTTTATCGCCAACACTACAGCTGATACACTGTCTACTCTCTTTAGTGCAATATCAAAAGGTATATTATCCTGTGATTCAAAAGGCTTCACCTGCAACACTTTTGCTGTGATTCTGTTAGGTTCTACAAAATATTTTAACAAGCCAGCACTTGGTTGGTTTGCAGGATCTATGGGGAACATCAGTGGTGCTGAAAAAGTTGTGTAAATGATTCACATCATCCTAATGGCTTACCAAAAACATATCCAACAGTGGAGATACTTAACTAGGTTTTCATTTTTACACAATAAGAAAATTAAACATAACGAGTTGTGATTCTTCATAGAGTAGCAATTACGTGTACTACACAGTTTAAACCTTTTCTAATTGTACATTTTAGTTTTACACGTACACAGCATTTCATGCTAGAACATATTACATATACATAATAAATGCTGTAGAATAAAATGGATTAGACTGTATTATGTGTGGAATAATTCATGAGGCAGCATATCTAGTATTTAGAAGCTGCTGAACTCTTGTCTACAAAAGGGCATCCACCAAGGCAGCTGAGTGGTAGCACTGGGGGGAATATTTCGTTAAAATTAATGTAGACACAACCACAGAGAGCACCATATGTGTTAACAATGTCTAAGCTACGTCAGTCTTACCTCTGAATATTGTTCCTGAGAGGGAGCAGAGATCACATTAGATTACAATGCTACATCACTACTTTAGTTACACTCTCCCAACAAATAATGTGACACTGCAGCATAGTGGGGCACATGACAACTGACTGGCTGGTCTGCACCAGAGCCACACAGCTCTGTAAGGACAGGGTACCGCCAGGCATGAAGCCAGCAGCCATTAAGAAACTCTCGGGCTAGTTTCCTTGGCTACACAGGTTGCCAAGCGCCTTACTTGCAAAGGCGGTGGCGAGGGCACTGCACGAGCCCATCGCTCTTATCCTCTGTTTTCTGGCTAGGTACGACAGTAAGACATAGACCAAGGAGGAGGGAGAAACATTGTTCTCCTTAACCTCTGAGGACAGGACAAGAAGCAATGGGCTTACATTGCAGCCAGGATGGTTTAGGTTGGACATTAGGATGTCAGGGGGGTTAAGCAGTGGAATAAGCTGCCCAGGGAGGTGGTGGAATGTCCATCACTGGAGGGTTTTTCAGAGCAGGTTGGACAAACACCTGCCTGGGATGGGACTCGCGTGAGGGGGGAGGGGCTCGCGTGAGGGGGGAGGGGCGGGCCAAGCGAGGGGGGAGGGGCTCGCGTGAGGGGGTCGCGGCGGGTGGGTTGACTCGTGGCCAAGCAGTTGCCGCCACAGGGCTAGCACGAGCGGGGAGGGTGACAGGCGAAGGGGCGGCTCGTGGGCAGGGCACACCACCTCCCCCCGCGCCCCGAGGTGCCCGCACGGGACCGGGGAAGATGGGACCGGGGGGCCCCCGCGGATCTCGGACCCACCTTGGCCAGGAGGTGGCCCTGGTGCGCGGCCAGCGGCAGGGTGAGGCCGGTGCGCAGGGCGGCGCCGGCACACACGATACTGAGCCACCAGGGCAGGCCGGTGCCCGCCTGCAGCGCCGCCAGCCCGCTCTCCGCCCAGTACACGGGGGCCGACTGGGCCAGCGCCTCGTACAAACCGCCCGGGCTCGCGCTGGGCAGGGAGGAGGCGGCGGCGGCGGCGGCCCCAGCGCGTGACCCCCAGCCGGGCGACAGCAGGAGCCGCTCGCGGAGGGGCCTCTGCAGCTCCTGCCCCGCGCGCCGCCAACACCACATCCCGGCAACGGCCGAGCGCGCGCCCCGCGCGGCCAGAGTCCACGCGGCCGGCAGGTTGGGGAAGGGGCGGGGGAGGGGAGCGACGCGACCCGACCGGTCCTCCTCCTGCGCGCGCGCCCCGAACTCTCCGTCTCTCAACCCGGAAGGAACGCGGCAGTAGCTTCCGGCCGGCCAGCCAGCCACCGAGAGGGAGAGACCGCGGCCTAGAGCGCCCCCTCCTCGTCCGCGCGCGCAGCTGCGGGAGGTTGGGAGAGGCGCCATGTTGGATTAGGGCAGGTCTTGCGCCGAATCAGACCCCGACCCTCCCCCCCCACACACACACGTTGGAGGGGGGGGGGGGGGGGACGGGAGGGGGCCAGCAAGGGGGGGAGGCGGGTGTGGGCTTTGAAGCGATTTCGGGTCTGGGTGATGCTGGAGCGGGGGCGCCCGTGGCGGGTGTGAGAACCGAGGTCGCGGTGGCCAATGCGGTGGGCTCAGTCTTGTTCTCTGCTCTCGTTTTGTGGCAATGGGGCCCTGAGGCCACCTGTGGGACAGGGCATCTGTCCTCGCGGATCGGGGGTCTGCCTCCCTTGCTCTGCCTTTTGCTTCAGGTGCCCTTTGATGCGGGTCGCGGAGTCCCAGGGAAAGCAGGAACGGTTCTGCTCCCCTTGGTAGTCCCATTGTTTCCTCGTGCTCCCTGGTGGTTGTTTAAGTACCCAGCTGTAGTCTTAGTGTCTGATTGAACCAGGATATAGTTCCCGCCCCCCGGGTCGAGGCTGGAACCGTTGCAGAGCTAACCTGATTGCTCTCAGCGATAGGTTTATGCTGTGAGCCTTTTCCTCCTTGCTCCAGAGGCCCTTGGTAGGCGTTACAAGGCCTAAAGGATTTGCAAGGCAGAGCAGCAGGCCTTTGTGGACCCTGTCATGGACTGACCACTGTTATAAGGAGTTGAACACCTGTGCTAGAACCCATCCTTGATTTTTCATGGGCTGTGGGGAGTCCTGCATCTTTCATATGCAAGCTTTGAAGACATCGGCTGCGTGCTTGTGCCCGTGGAGCGATCCCTATGCACACCACTAGGAGTCCTTGCAGTTGGAGGCATAATGCCTCCTCTGGCTCTGGAGCAAGAAAATAAATTCCTGGGTAAAAGCAAACAACTTTTCTTGGCACTGATGATGAAGCCGTGCACATGGAGGAGATTCCACATCCAAGTAGTAGCCTTGAGCACTGCTGACGGTGATGGAGCTCTGAGCAGGATGTTGTCCGGGAGGGGATACAGGTGAGTTCCCTGTGACCTGTCTGGCGCTTACCAGTACCAACATCTTGGTAAAAACCCCAGGGGCCAAGGACAGGCCAAATGGGAGTGTTAGGAACTGATATGTCTCCTGCTGTATGCAAACCTCAGAAGTCTGTAGTGGCATGGTCTGATAGGGATATGGTGATAAGATTCCACTAGATCTACTGCAGTCAGGAAGCCCCTGGGACAGGGAAGACACTGTAAAGACCATGGTCTCCATCTCAAACTTTGTTTTCTTCATACACTTGTTGAGCCTTTTGAGGTCAAGAATGACTCTGATGCACCCCCTCCCTACCCTCACTGTTGCATAATGAAGATGTAGAACCTGCAGAACCTTTCTTCTGAGGGAAGGTATTCTATCACTCCCATATCCACAAAATGAGATTTCCTTCTGGATCAGATTGTGTTTTATGGGGTCACTGTTCCCTGAGTCACTTGGGCATGGTCAATGAAAACCATTTTTTTAGGAAATGGGAGATTTTGACCCCAGCTTTAGCTCTGGGTGGAGGCCGATGTGATGTGTCAAAGTGGATGGGGAGAGGGCAGGCAGGGAGACTGAGGTCTCTCTAGACTTTCAATCCACTGTTTTCCCTGGAGGAATCTATTGTGGCTTTGCTGGTACCTCTGAGGATGAGGAGCAAAAAGAGCACCTCTCTGAAGGCCGGTTTATATCCTCTCCTGGGGGACCTTAATGGGGAAAGGAGAGACAATGTGGCAAAATCCAGTTAGCCACCACTTTATCCATGTTTTCTTCAAAAAGGAGGGAGCCTGTAAACTTGGCTGAGCACAGGACCTGCATAGAGTGAGTAGCCACCTTCCAGGGAGTGAACCATAGGCAGTGCATGGCTACTGGGCTGGAAGCTATGGCTCATGCAAACGCTGTTGCTAGTGACTCCTTAAAGTGGAGCCCAAGGTAGGATGATCTCTATCCTAAAGAGCTTTGAGATATTCCTGCTAGGAAATAGATGCTCTTGGAAAGTAGGTAGCTGCCAGAAATGCTCAGAGGTTGGTGGAAGAGGCTTCGAAGCCCTTGTTCAGAGTGGCCTGCATCTTTCTATCCAAGGGTTCTTTAGGATAGAACTCTCCTCGTGAGGGAATAACTATATCCCTGGCGAGGAATGCTACAGTGACAGTGACCTTTGATGTCTCAGCAATAGAGCCCTTTGGTTTTTGAATGTTAAGAAAGGCTGAGGTCACTCTTGTTAATATGCCTGCCCTTACCAGGCTTGTTCCATTCATCACTTTCTCAAAGGAGTGAAGGGGTAAGACAGCCTAAGTGGAGGATTTTGAGGGAAGAAACTTTCTCTGAAGCTTACACCCAGGAGCCTACTCTGGTTTTAGAACCAGGCAGCTTGCCTTCTTCAGTGGAGGAGGCAGAAAAGGACTCATCTCCTGGGTTGTATGCGCTTTTACTTTCCCTGTTTAGATTTTTTTTAAAAAAAGCTTTTAGCATGCTTTGGGAGTGGAGAAGCCCTGCTGTGACTTTGGGGAGGTTTGTTGCAGCTTGCCTTCCTTAAGGCCTGGAGCCCTCTCAAGAGGTCTGTCTCAGAATCCTCCCCACTGGGTCCCATTCCATAGGGAATGGGGAACTTGTCAGAGCACTCCTGGGCAGGTTGGGAGCTGATTAGAAACCCTGCTTCTTTCCCTAGGGTGCTCCGGACCCACTTTAAGATTTGGGGGGTGGAATGACGTGGCCTCGCAAGCTTCCTCTCTTCGTTCTGTAGAGGTCCCGTGGGACTTACCTCTAGAGTTGAGTAGTCAGGGTGCTCCTCACTTTTGGAGCCTCTCTCTTCTCTGCACTGGGGTTCGTGGCCTATTTTTCCTCCCATTGGAGTCACAGCTGCCTTGGTGGGTAGGGACTTGCCTGAGTTGCAGCCTTGGGTCCCCACGGATTTAGGGACAGAAGGCTGGGCACAGCCTGACATCTGCTGAATCTGGAAATGCTGCCTCAGATATAGAGCACCACTCAGATCAACTCTGTGCTTTCTTGGCTGTTCTGCCATGCTGTAAGGGACAGAGGAGCCAGCAGGGAGATGCTGCAGTGGAGGCTCAGGGAGGGTTAACCGACCTGGGAGGAAGAAGAATGCCAAGGAGGGAGAACAGCTCTCACTAACCCAAAAAACTGGGCAGAAAAGTTAAAACAGTGGGAATAAGGGCAGGAGGAAAAAAACCGCCACTGTCTGCTGCTGCAGAGATGAAGACTCTAGCAGCAAGCAGGATCAGAGGGGGCATGGGCAGACCATGCAGCACCAAAACACTGATCTATCTGCATGCTATAGAGAGGAGAGCAGCCAAGATGTCCAGAATTGTGGGGAAACCCTGGGCTGCAAAAGATGGCAGGCAGAAGTAGTCTACACAGAGGCCAGTCAATTTCCACCTTGCACAGAACATAATCAAAACTGTCCTGATGGGGTACCCAGAAATTACAAACACCATGGCTCTGCGAGCTGCTGCAGGTAAATCACACACACCCATCCTAGGTATTTCCATACACAGCACTGCAGTATCCAGAAGTTACATCACCTGACCTACTGCCCTGAAATTCAAAACTAACATTTAAAGCAAATTAAAACCCTTAGCTTATCTGCTGAGAGTGCCAAAAAGGTGTATACTGATGGGCCCACTCAATCATGAGGAACTGACCAACTCATTTCACATGCCTCAAAGGTTAGACCTGATCCAGCTCTCTTTCAGATCAGTGGAAAGATTACCATTTACTTCAACAGGAGTGGATTGGCCTATGCTAATGTATTTTAGTCATTACCAAATAGGTCCAGATTTAAACCACTAATTTAGGAATGAAAAGGCTCTGTTCCCCTTTACTAAGCTTTTTACCATTCAGTTGGCCTCTGATAGTGTATATCTTTAATTAGCTGTTTAAGAAAAAGGGAAACCATGTTAAGTAGCTTGCAAATCATGTCATAGATAACTTAATTAGGTCTCTAAGTGCTAATATTGCCTCACCTTGTTCATTTCCAGTAGTCTTTTGTCATTTGCTTCATTTAATCACCTAGATGTCACAAATGCAATGTAGGTGTCCTACTACAGCTTCATTTGTCTGGCAAATAACTGTAAAGATTAAATTTGTTCCTTTTATGTCAAGTCTGTTGTGGGTAACTACAGACCAAGAAATTGCTAAAAATGTTGGTTATTAAATTTTAATTTGTCCTGGAAGTTGACTCATATGCTTGATCCATATGTCAAGGTTTAACTTCACTGCAAAAGTGAAATCTTTCTCTTTATGAGTGTTTTAGTGGTGATTTAACTCTCTAACCTTACCTGATACGGAGCTGTGCCAAGGTTGATGCTAGATTTCTATAGCAGTATCTGCTGTAATTTTTTTTAATCCCAAAGAATTAGAGAACTTCTATAAACTGTTTTTACATAGTGAAATCTTTAAGTCACTCATGATGGATGATCAGCCACATTACCCAATGGAAAATATTTAAGTATTTCAACCCAAATCATATACTCTTTCTATGGTCTGGTATGGAATAATCCATATAATGTATTTTCAAGGGAGAAATTTTACTTCCAATGATACTCAAAAAAACAAGTTCTGATAGCTACTATTGATCCCCTCCCTGGCAATGTAGATCTGTAAGAACAGAAGATCATCATCAGGAACTTAACACTGAAGATAGCAAATTAAAAAATTGTTATGGCTAATGCATACGGACATCCACTAGCTTTATGCAAGTGGAGCCCAGAACTCCTGCATCACAGTGAATGTACAAGTGCTATAAATGTTTTGTTCTTGTATTTTAACTACTTAGAAATAGTCCTGGTTCAAGAA